TATTCTGTTGTCTCAAACTATGAATTGGCAAGAAAAGGATGCTGAATGAGGAGGCATTACAGTAGCATAAGTTTAACATTCTTACTTGGGAGTGGGGGTAGGATGGGACTTAGAATGTTCTAATGGTAGGTGGAGAATGTGGTCCTTGTACATGAATGATATTACTTTGGGGTTAGTCCATTATTTGTGCTCATTTAAAAAAGAGGTTTATTTGATATACAAATATGAAACACCAAAGAAACCTGGTCCAGAGTAAAATTATTAATACAACTCCCGAGAAAGATTTAAATGATATGGACCTTGTGACTCTTCCTGAAAAAGAGGTTGATTTGAAATTTTCTATGATCTATAAAAGGGGCAGTTCTCTAAGTAAAATAATAAAATCCAGACTAGAGAAAGAAAATTTGGAGGGGAAAACTCATTAAGAACTATCAAGTATTTTAGAAACATCTATTTTAAAAAACCACTAATATGCACTAATGCCAAATTCTAAGAGTCTATTAAAAGGAAGAGGTATGCAGTAAATATAAAGGATCTGCTTGGTTATAATTAGTTTAACCTGAGTTTCTACTATTCAGACTTGCAAGCAATAAATATATGCAATATTTTTAAATGTTGATTTTTTTATTTTTCAAATTAATTTTTTCTTGCCTTCCTCTAATTCTTTTTTTGCTGCTTTCCTTGAATTTCTCTAAGAATGAGTTTTATACTGCACTCTGAATTTTTCATTCCTTTGTTTTTGTGCCAGTTCTACCAGAGATTATTTTATTTCCATGTTACTGATTATGTAGATTTATAACTGATGTTAAATGAGGATCACTCATCAATTTTTCACCTAGATTAACTTTCAGCAGGGGTGATGGTCTAGGTTCTGCCTAAAGCTTCATTCTTTGATTTGGATATTCTTCTTTACTAGTACTATTAATACTATTCTGCCTAAATTTGATTAAAAAGTGCCTTTCCACAGAGTCTTGGCTCAAAGTAGTACAATGTAGCAGAAATCTATTTCAACTATCAAGATTAACAGAGGTAGTACCAATTTCCTATTATTTTAGGAAACAAATGTATTTACCATTCATGAATCTGGAATAAGCAAACACTATTCCAGGAGAGAAAAACATCTGACCTTATTATTATTGCAATTATAAACAGACTGACAGTGCAACTAAAGCCAACTACTTCTGTAATATAAAAATTTAATTCCAAGCAGATGATATGATTTCAGAATATTCCATAAGTGTTCAGCAATACCCTCTCTGAGTAGGTATAGGTAACAGGAAGTTTATTTTGATGTAATTGAGGACTATAAGAAATAGGTAAAAAAATAAATAGCAAATCCAAAAGGAAAAGGATTTATTTTTCCCTTTCTTGCACAAAAGGAATCTTCATCTTTTGAGATCTATCTTAATTCCAAAAATTTCTCATAAGATGGAAAAAATATTAAAAGTAGCAATTTGGTATAGCTATATGGCACTTAACACAATTTAGTAGGCAAGCATTATCAAAAAATGTATTTTTAAATATGTGGGTTAATGAAGCTCAAAGATGTTCAGTGAATTGCCTTGGGATCAAGTCATTACTTAAGACAGAACAATCAGGACTAGAGAAGACAGTCTTCTCACTTATAGTCCCAGGCTCTTTTCATTATACAGAGCTGTATTTCACTAATATCAATTGATGCTTCCTAGTAGTTTAAGAGAAACACTACTTCTGGATTATTGTATGAAAGTCTCTTTCTGTAATAAATATGCCATTTGTTATGCAATAATTTCTGAATATATTCACTTAAGTTAAAACAGCATATTTAAAGCACATTCTCTAACCCAATCACAGTATTATCCCCAAAGTCCTTACATTTTAATAATTGTATATAAAGGTGTCTTACCTTTTACATTTATTAAAGTGCATTTACATTTATTAAACCCAGAAAGGTAAGATGCAATGGTTAAAAAATTACATTTAAGAAAAACGGAGGAAAAAAAACAGAGGTGCGTTTTTTTTAAAAAGCAGAATATATTAACCATTCAGTTAACTGCAGAGTATCTGTAAATGATGATGATTTACTTCCTAAGACGAATGGGAAACAGCCTTCCCAACTAGTAATAGCTCCTACTCCATATAAACAATTTTAACATCTCTAAGTACAAAAAACTTAGTAGAATTAGTTTAAACATTTCATCATCTTTCCTTGGTATCCACTAACCAGTAAATTATCATAAGAGGAAGGAGTTGGCTAGAAAAAAACCCAATATTTAATTAATGCTTACCTTATGTCAAGTATAGATATATTTAGTTTCTTCACATATTATGAAAATAGGTAGTTTTGCTGTTGCAAAATATACATCAATTTTTATGACATTAAGTTCAACTACAGAAAAATAAACAATTTCATTTTTAAAAAACTAACCTGTCTACTTCATCTCGGGCCACAATGTCTCCTTTCTTTAATGCTTTTATAGCAAACATCTCATTTGTGTGTTTATATTCAGCCAAAAGCACCTGAAATAAGATTAAAATGATTATTTCCCATTTGTTATTACTTTTGTAGATATTCCAAAAAAAATTTTAAAGAGTACCTTTCCAAAATGCCCTCTGCCCAAGACAGCACAGCACCTGAAGTCTTGTAGATTAAACTGAAACATTTGTTGAGATCTGAAAACAGTGACGCCAATTAAAAATAACACAAGACTATGGGAACAAATATGTAGTAACAAATACGTATGTGTTCTTTACCTGCTATCCTCAAGGTCTCGAATACCACTATATTCTAGGCTTGACTGAGGAATATCAGGTTCATACTCAGATTGAGATTTTGGAAGTATACTATTTCTGTCATTCTCAATATCAAAAACAATTTCTGAATCCTATAAAATATTAAATAATCATTAAATCATAAAAACAGAAAACTATTTGGTAAGGATAAAGTCAAAGAAAGGATAAAGTTAAAAGTCAATATAAATATTAGTGAGAAAAGTAAAATTCAGATGCTGAATATTCATTCTCATGGTTATTTTGTATAACACTTTTCTAAAAAATGTGAAGAACTTAACATATTACTGTCATCTTCAATGCATACTCAGAAATCATACTAACCACATTAGAAGATAAGAGTGTTTCAAGCAATACGTCATCTAGTTATTAAGTGTGCTCCTATGCTTCTTCTAACTTAAGCATCCTAGTCTGTAATGGCCCGTGTGCTCAGAGACTTCTGTTTTACTCATTAGAAACATAAAAACAGTTCACACAGGCAGTTTTTAATTAACTGAAATGTACACCTCATTCATTATGATTCTTTTTATTGGTAATTCATTTGGTGCAAAGGAATCATACAAGGTTTAAAATTCCTTGCCTGCCCTGGTGTATCCAAATCTCTGAATTCAGCAGATTCATCTATTTCTCCAAGGGAAGAATCACGTGGTGGGGCTGGAGGAGGTTCAGGTTCAAGATCGAAGTCCAATTTGGTTACTGTAGAATCACTTATAGAGAAGATAAAGTAATTCATCAAAAACAGTAATCAAAAGTATGTATTTTAAATGGCTTTAAAAATAAAAGCAAACAATTTCATTTTTTAAAAGTAAGCAGAACACCAATCTCAAAATAGTATTTGGAGAAAGAGACTTTTAATAATAGAACCACTGTGATCAGTATGTACAAACGTCACAATAATTATTTTATGAAGGTGATGCTTACAAATCTTAAGACCCATACCTAGCTGGAGATGCTAGTTCAGGGATGCGTACATCAACCACTGGCACTGTAGCAGGCACAGGAGCTTGAGGGCTGAAGGTACCAGAATGATTTACTGTAGGAATAGCTCTTCTCACCAGCCTTCCCCAAGTGGCAATGTTAATATTCATTTGAGGAGCTCTGAGAAATGTTTTGCCTGTGGATATTGTGAATAAAGAAAATAGATCAAGTAATTTTTTAATACATTACCAAAAGCCGTAATTTAAAAATTCATTTTCATCAGTTTATAATTTATGAAAACAAATAAAATTTGTCACTTAAAAAAATAGTTCTTAACTATTTATTAAAGGCTAGTGCAAAATAGCAAAAATAGTTTAAAAATAAATAGGTGGAAATTGTTCTTTAAGTCTAATAGTGTTATGTGGTTAAGGTTTAAAAATGAATTATTATCTTGTAGAGATGCTAACTACACTGTATGGATGAATCAATACAATATCTCGGTTTGCTTCAAACAATCTGAGGCAGTAGTGAGTGTATGGCATTAGATGAAACAAAACTGGCTATGAGTTGACTGTTGTTGAAGCTGAGTGATGGTGCATTGCACTAGTCCCTCTACTTATGGATATGTTTCAAATGTTCTTTAATAAAAAGTTAAGAATAAATGAACAAGTAAGGAAAACAAAAAATAAAGATAGGTATCAGTTTTTAAATGGTATGTAGGTTTTCTATGTTTAAGAAAATACCAATTTGACTTCTTAATAACTACCTTGTTGTTTTGAAAAAATTTTCTTTTGTCTTTGGAGTTTTGGTCTTCTTTCTATAACTGGATTAAAAAAGGTAACCTGCAGTTAAGAAAATTAAAATAAACATGAATATAGCATAGGATTTATGGTCATGAAATTCACTGAACTTCTCAGTTTTGAAAACTTGAGAATCTTAAATATAATTTAGTTCAATCCACTCATTTTCTAGATGAGAAAACAGACCTAGAGAAGATAAATGAGTTTTCTAAAGGTAATATATCTGTTTAGTGGCAGAGTTGAACCAAGATCAAGTTGTCCGTCATTCAGTCTAGTACTGTTTCCACTTCTACATCATGATGCCTGCATATACAGTTTCAACTGTAGTTATGCACATTTAATGAAATACATTTATTACCTCTGCAAACAAAGTACCCTGTGGTTCCAAATAGAGACACATGCCATGCCGTTGGTTGTCTAAAAAATCTTCTAACCTCAGAAATTTTACAGCACACAGAGATCGCCAATCACGCCAATAAACTGAAATTTCCAGTTCACGTGACTAGGATAATTTAAAAAAAAAAAAAAAGAAAAAGAAAACAGAGAAGACATTATTGGACACATGCTTGAATAAAATATCACAAAAAATATAAAATACAAATAAACAAAAATCACATACACAATGGTGATGCTATTTTAAAGAACTCTATGTAATGTTTATTATATTATTACTTTAACAAAGGAGTAAATTTATATTCTGATATCTTCCAGCCAAGATTTTCCTTTCATATAAAGAACACAAATGGCAACAATCAACACTGATAAATGACACAAACTGTCCAATCTCATGGCTTCAATTTTTCGGATTTTCCTCCTATACTTGGTATCACTTGCTGTGCTATTGCTGACAGACCTCAGTGCCTGCCTCACAACCTATTTAAAACCTCATTTCCTTGCCCCAACAAAGGTCTGCAAATGGCATTTACCTCACACACAGTGTGGCACACACTGTGCTAACAATAAGCACTTTAGGAATATAAGGTTATTTAATCTTTCAAAAGAATACCACTGGGTAATATGACCACTGATAACAGGGGCCTGCATAGGTTGGGAGCAACAGAGAAATGAAGACCTAGTTTTACAGAGAGAAGTTTATTTATTGTAACACCCTGACACCCCAAAAAAAGCACATTAGCAAGAACTTGAATGTACAAAACCCAGCGACAAGTGTGTCATATTCATGAGGGAATATAATGTAGTCATTAAAAATAATGCTCATGTGGAAAACGTATTTAAGGTTTTAACAATCAATTATTAAACGTATTTATAGTTTATTAAATGTACTTTACAGTTTATAGGTTGGGGGTCAAGCCATACACTGATTTGTACATAAATGTTATAATCTACAAATACATTTTAATTATAAAGCATAAGATTTCTCCATTACTTTGTTTTTCAGGATTTTGCAGACCATCTACAAAAATAGATAAATGTTCTCCTCCTTACACTCAACAAGGTAATAAGTCACTTCTTTTATATAACAACTTTCAATTTATTAATTCATGTATTTATTTATTAGGCAAGCTCCTAATACACATAAAAGAAAATCTTGACTTTTTAATAAAACTAGTTGATGCAAATGAATACAGAAAACACTTTTTAAGAGACAGAACATGAAAAAAAATGAGTCAAGATACAACATGCTGTAAGGCCTCACAGCCAATCAAGAAAAGGACTAGAAAAAGGGATCTATGGCAGTGAGTCTATGAGCCTAAGGCCCCTTACCTTTCTTCTCTCTGATACATAATTACTTGGGAGAGAATCCTTGTCATGAAAGGGAAATAGGAGTAGAACTATTTTAAGATCACAAAGAAGGCATAGGTATTAATGCTGTAATATTCTATTACAGTTAAAAGTTTAAGTATTTTGGAAACAGTTATTTTGGGAAATAAACAATGAATGAATGAACCAGGGACTGGTAATTTAGACTACACTGTTTCAGACTATAGGAAGAGAAGTCTACTTTCTCTTATCTTATTCTACTATATCAGGAAGGAAGACTTCTTTTGGACAGGAAGATGGAAAAGGTATAGAATATGGAGATGGAATTGGTCCTAGTTAAAAGTTCTTATACTCCACACTGCTAAAAAAGTAAGATAATATTTCTCTGGATGAGAAGACGTCCAATCACCTCATTTGAATTTATTCTAGGCACTGTGGTAAATGTCACATGTTGACTAATTTCTCTTCCCTCTGTCTCTGTATTCCATGCTTCAAACTGAAATATGTTAGAAAGATCTGAGATATGGAATGGAAAGTCATCTCAAAGCTAGCTTTCCTGGAGTTCTACATTGAGGTTTTAAGCATAAGGCTTTTCACTTTTTGTTACTTTGTGTTTTCCTTGTATCAATCTCTCCATAATTTAAGGGAGAGGGTAGCTATGATTTATAGCAGATTAAGATATTTTATGTCAGTATTCATACCACTATTTCATGGAACCCCATTAATCCCTTATGTCCAGTGTGATTTGGATAGGAAGAGCAGTGATATAGCATCTGAAAAGCAAAGTAGCTTCTATACAAGGGGATGTCACTAATGTTTATTGAATTTAGACTGCAAGTGCTAGTAATTTTCCAGATGAAGCAGGTCTGCTCTATAAAACAAGGACATGCTTGTAGGTAATATCAAACTCTAAGAGCAACAAAATTCTAGGTAGAGTAAAATCACCACTGAAATAGCAAAAGCAGTATAATATGAACTAGGTACTGACTGGCAGTACTGGCAAACTGTTCCAACTTCTGCCTCATTTTTGTCTTATTATGCATTTGCACATAAGATCAAAGAGAAAACAAAATTCTGTTTTATATAGACCTAAGGAATTCTGTATGGTTTGCCTGAAGTCTCTGTGAGGCCTGCAAGTAAAGAGAAAAAGATGAGACATTGAATCAGTACTACATATAGGAAAGGAAGGAGAACAAGGACTTAAAATACGTGTTGCAATTAAAAAAAAAACGCAGTACACATCTATCATAAAAAGAACTGAAGCAGAAGGAAGGCTGAAGTTCCCAAACTGTTTAGGAAGAACTCTGAGGCAATGGAAGATTTTTTAATTTTTCAAACGAAACGCAGTAACAGCCATTCCACAAGAAATACTAGCTCATGATAAATTCATAGTTTCAACATTAGAATGTACCACATTTCTTTTGACAACATCATATCTTTGCTAACCTGGTTTTCAACTGTTGATTCTTCCACATGAAAAAAATGTGGAAAAGGAGTTAAGGGTACAGTATTCAATCTGATTCCAAGCTTTGAGAAATTATAGAGTATTCAATAGGTAGACATATCCTATTATTAAGTAACTGGCTCCATAAGAATCAAATAAAAATATTCCCTTTTCTTTCAATGGCTTTTTTTCTCAAAAAGTACCGATTTATTAGGATGTAAGTACTAAATTATTAAGTACAGTTTTTAAAGTGAGGTGTAACAGACAATTTAAAATATCTGAAGTACACACAGTGATGATTTGATGTACATAGTGAAGGGACTCCTCCCATCTAATACACATACCCATCATCTCATATTTTATATAGAATATGTTTGGTGAAAATACATTAAGTTCTATTTTCAGCAAATTTTACTTACATAAATTATCAACTATAGTTACGTCATACATGTGATGCTCAGATCTTATTTATCTTATACCTGAAAGTTTGTACCTTTTCACCAATCTTTCCCTATTTCCCTCACTCCCCCACCGCTAACAACCACTTTTCTACTCCTGTTTCTATGCGTTTGACTTTCTTCCTTTTTTTTTTTAAAAGATTCTTTATATAAGTGATAGCATTCAGTATTTGTCTTTTTTCTGCCTGGCTAATTTCACTTGGCACAATGTCCTCAAGGTCCATCTGTGTTGTTGCAAATGGCAGGATTTCCTTTCCTTCTTTCTCATGGTTGGATAATTTTCCATTGTGTGTGTTTGTGTGTGTGTGTGTGTGTGTGGTATGTGTATACACATTACTCATCCATTCACTCATTCATCAACAGACACAATGGCCTTATGTTGCAATGAGCAGGAGAGTACAGATATTCCTTCAATATTGTTTTCAAACAACTTCTTTTGAATATATACTCAGGAGTGGGCTTGCCAGGTCATATGATAGTCCTATTTTTAATTTTTTAAGAAACCTCCATACTGTTTTCTATAATGGCTGTAACCACTTTACATTCCTACCAATAGTGAACAAGTGTTCCTCTTAGTCACACCTTTTTCAATACTTGTTATCTCTTGTCTTCTTGATGACAGACATTTTAACAGGTGTGAAGTTGTGTCTCACTGTGGTTTTGATTTACATTTCTCTGATGATTAGTGATATAGAGCTCCTTCATGTACCTGTTGGCCATTTGGATGTCTTCTTGAGAAAAATGTCTATTCAGTCTCTCTGCCCATTTTTAAATCAAATTGCTTGTCTCTTTGAGTGGTGTGAGATCCTTATTTTTTTGATATTGACCCCTTATGAGATATATGATTGTTAATGTTTTCTCCCATCTTTAAATTGCCTTTTCATTTTGTTGATGTTTAGTTAGTAATTAGTTCTTAATAAATGGCACTATTGTGTATTTCTTTTGGCCTAGAGACACAATATAAAAAAACATTACTGGGACAATAAAGATGCTGTGAATTGAGTTTGGGAATCTTGGAGAGATGAAAATGAGAACTAGGTTCCAATGCTGGAAAGAAAGGGCAAGAAGCAAACTTGCTGCAGCCACTAACAGAGAAAAAATTAAAACACGGAAAATTCAAAAGCCAATTAAAGGTGATATTTTGTAAAGGTCCACATGGCAGATGTCACATTAATTGGTTTTCTATTTATTAATTGATATTTTATGGGCTTCTGAGGACAATGTAGGCTTGGGAAACATCAATTACGGTCCCAGCAGCAAACATACTACACCCTCAAAGAGCCTGAGTTCTAAAAATTGGCTATTTATGGAGGCATGATTAAAGTTAAGGAATCAACAAGGATGGGAGCACCTGAGGATGGGCCAAAGTAGAAATCCATTACCTTCCCTAGCCTGAACCGGTAAGAGGCAACAGTTTCCAGAATCCATTGAGAACCAGAGATTGGAAAATGGACTTTCCAATTGGAGCTGTGGCAACAGATGAACACTGCTGTGAAAATAGCAAAGGAGAGGAGAGAGGGAAGCAAACACACTGGCTTCCCTCTTCTCCTGCCCTTGTGTCTCCTAACAATGTCCTCCAATTTAAGTCAGAGGCCAGTGATTCAAGTCTACAGCTATAAGCCTGCAGGGGGAAAGAGCAGAACAGGGAAGGAAGGCCACTGGGATCCACAGGGAGCAAACAGAAAGCAAGCGCTTCAGGAAACAAATTTCTGTTTTCAGTTCAGTTCAGTGAAGATGATTCTCCAGCTGAACAAATGTGACAAGAAAGAGGGGCAACTCAGGATCTTTTGGGACGATAACAAATACAGAGAGAAGAGTAGGAGACTGAGACTGGAGAATATAGGCTGTGATCTCTGCTTGAAGTCAGCCTCCTATAGATGTGGGTGGCTCTGCTCCCTTCACAGGGAAAGAGGGAAGTAAAAAATTATGATAGAAACTATTTAAGTGCTGTGACAGTTATGTATACGGCTTCCTGTATCAATCATATATTCTATAAAAAGTTTCAAAGATTCCCTCTTATTCCAAACCTATTGTAAACTTTTGTGCTTCTATGTCTTTACATATACAGTTCCTACTTCTAATCTGAGATTAGATTTCTCATCTACTCATAAGCCTCAGAGAAGAATATGATGTGTCATTTGACAGAATTTGGAAGCAGCAGAAGAGAGCTAAAAAGGTTAAATAGTATTATACCTCAATTACAGGTTAAAAACAGCATCTGAGATTAAACAATATGTCAATGTCAGCTCATACAAAGAAGAAATTAAAGAGTCTTTGGTATTCTTATTCTATGGCTTGTTTTATTATTAAGATGCTTCCCATTAAAAAGATGTTACATGCATTTCTATCCTTTTATAGAAAAGAAAGCATCTTTTTTTACTGCCATAGTTTCTGTGAGGGATAATTTCTACCTTTCCCCTAAATATCTGGGTCTCTACTTAGACCCTCTTACTCATCTTCCAGAGTGAGTCAGTTGATAGAAGACTGGGAGAGAAACTAGACATCAATAATTCAGCCCATTCTTCCTCTTTTTCTTGAGAATCAGGTTTTTAAATAGAAGCATAGTTGGACTGTCCTTCTCACACATGCCTTAAATTTTACATGGCTGAGGCCCACAATGATCTAAGGCACTAGGGTATAACCCCACTGTTGTTGCCTACCCAACCACAATCTCAAATAGCTTATAGGTGACATTTTACTTTCCACTAGTGCCTCATGCTAAGACAGCCAAGGATGGCCATTTGACCAAATCTTATTTAATATGATAAACAGAGATCATAAAATGGATCTCAGATGAAATAAAGACAATTCAGAGAGAAGAAATCTTAAAACTGATGTCCTCAATAATGTAAGAAAGGATATGGTCCCCATGAGAGAAAAACAGTGTATTAAAATAAAAAAAGAATGAGCTTTTACAAATTAAGAATGTTATCAAATATAAATTTGTCAATAAAAGACTTACAGGTGTCTGAGTATCCCAGAAAGTAGAACAAGAAGACAGACTGACAGAAGACAATATGCAAAAGAAAATTAGACGATCAGTCTAAGAGGATAAAATAGCAAGAGATACTGAAAATGAAAATAAGAGCAAATTATCATTTCTCAAATAAATAAGTCATTTCTCAGATCTGAAGCACTTTCAAAAGTGAAGGTGCCATAGAATACTAACCATAAGAAGTGAAAACCACCTACACTAGGGTGTACCATTTTGAAATCTCAGAATCCCAGGGAAAAAGGATAAAAACCTTAAAAACTTCAGAGAGAAAAAGCAGAGCACAAAGATTAAAAATCAGACACACATAACAATTTTCAACTGTAATACTGGAGCTAGAAAATAATTACATAATCCCTCAAAATCCTTAATGAAAATAATGTCTAACCTAGAATTTTAGGACTCCAAGTGGAACAGTAGCATAAATATTTTCAGAAATGCAAGATCTCTAAAGCTTTCATTCACCCTTTTCTGAGCCTGTAAATGGGGAATATGATGCACCAAAAATGAGAAGTAGAATAAGAAAGATGAAGGAGTAATCCAAGGCTCAAGTGATCCAACACAGAAGGATGGAATTCTCAGGATGATGGTAAAGGAGAGACTCAAGATGAAAGCTATAGCAGCCATTTATTTTGGAGCAGAAAGATAAAAGGCTCCAGAAAGAATGGGGAGAGTAGGACACAAATGACTGTTGGTTTATGAGATGTATTTACCTATGGAGTTGAGAATGAGTCCCTACAGAGAGTTTGGTCATAAACAATAGGCACTTAGAAAACTAAACAAAGCAAACAAAACAAATAAATAAATAAATAATGAGGTATTTATTAGCCCAAAGGAAGAAACAGTTACTAAAAAGAAAACCATAATCACATTACAGAACACAGTTCATGTGTCAACAACATTTATATAGTCATAGTATCAATGCTAAACAACAGATTTAACCTAGTCATTTGGAAGAATAAGGATATGAATGTGAATGGTTTAAGAGAGTTAAATTCCAACCTTCTTTAATGTAGTGTAAACACACAATTTAAAAAATTTTCAAACCAATAAACAGTTAAGAATCCCAAGTTCTCTAACGATCTTGTTCTCTATCCTACAACTCAGTTTCTTGCTCCCACTGTCATACTAATAACTTCAAGTCTTTCCAGTCTCAGCCCTTTGCATCCTTCCCTCAGGCCATCACGTCCTGACATTCGAGCTGCTCTCAGTAGCACAACACCCAGCAATCCTTTAACCCCACAGTTACCTGCGACCCATTAATCCTACTTTGTTTTTACTGCCTCTTAACTCTCTTGATGTCCTCTTCCATTTCTATTACAAGGTGAACATTATTACTTTGCTCTTAATAGGATTGATTCCAGCTAAAACTTTTCTGAATTTTAGTTCTAAAACAGGGCCCCTCCCTGCTTCTAATATTGGTAAGGATTGTTCTCTATTATATTAGTGAGGTTAATCAAAAAGAAATGTGAAAGGGAAAAGGTTAACTGTAAGGGTTTGGGTACCCTCTTGCCTTTAATTTCAATGTCTCATAGGGAAGATAAACTTTACAACAGAAGGGCTGAGGGAACTCAGGCAAAATGAGAAATTACACAACTATTGTGTTTATAGTAAACATTAAGACAAAATTTTATAAGAAAACATAAAGAGTAACCTGATAAAAAATAGAAATAACATGGAACTGATAGTTGATAGACTTCATTAAGAATCCTAGATTATACTTTAGGCTAGTTTTTTAACTCCTAGGCCATAATTTCCTTATTAATGTGTAGAACATCAGCAATTTTTAAACCTCTTTTTTTAAAAGTAACTAGCAAATTCCAAATGATATCTTACCCAGAATTCCAAAGCAATAAAAAGGGTCTGTGTTGCCACCTGAGACAAACGTGAAGAGCCTTGAGATCCCAGGAACGTAATTTGAATTTTTTTCTACATCATTCTAGATCTAGATCATTTCTTAGCTTACAACTCTAAAAGGACCTATGAATTTTTGTATCTTGAAAAGGATACAGTACAACTTAGGTACAGAATGCCATAGAAAAGAGACAACATCTGTGGCAAAATACTGGGCATGAACATGTCAGACAATTTAAAATAACATTTTCTGTAAATGTTTCTATAAACATTTTCTATAAATAAATATTTTATAAATATAAGGGATAAAATAAGAGTTAAAAGCACATGGAAAAATAAAAAGTACTATGTAAACATAAGGAGTTATGATAAGGAATGTGGTCTCTGCCAAAGAGAAGTTTATAATCAAATTAGGGACAAGTAACATATGTATTAGGACACAGAAGGTTTAGTTGGCTTGAAGAATGAATAGCTTTACTTAGCCATGCAGTGTCTTCAAAATTTTAAAGGGAGGATTACTCCAAAGGGGGAAAATAGGTCTGATACCATGAAGATGAAGAATGAATAGCTTTACTTAGCCATGCAGTGTCTTCAAAATTTTAAAGGGAGGATTACTCCAAAGGGGGAAAATAGGTCTGATACCATGAAGAAAAACAATTTTAGGTGAAGATTTACAATTGGAAGTAGTGAACAACTCATCAACAGTTATCAGTCTTTCTAGTTTTCTAAGCCTGCAGTTTGGGTAATTTTAAACAGTATTTTCTCTGTTGCAGGTTTTCATCATGTTCTGCTATTTCCTCCTTTGCGCCACTATTATCTCTCTATGTCATTCAAATAACTATTGAGGAAAGAACATCATTTAGAGGGACACTCAAGGTCTGTATGACTAGTTCTTTGTTTATATGTAACTACTCTGGTTCTTAGTCTCCTTAATTATAAAATAATGGCAACACACTTAATTACTTTTAAGTTCTGTTTTAAATATAAACCTCTTTAAAACAATAATCTCGCTGTAAGAGAAATCTCACCAGCCATTTTCCCTCTAACAAGAATTCTCTTTTATAAGTTTCATTTTGACAGTATCACTCATCAAAAATCCTGTAATTACTCTAAATAAGCTCTGAAATGAAAGAAAATGACATTCAACCAATTAATTCCCCATTATCTAACATGTTCTTCTACTATATTCCAATTCATAGTCATACATCAAAACCTAGGGCTAAAGAAAGAAATAATATCAGAGTGGCTAAAACGTGTCAGGCAATGCAAGGTACTTTATATACACTAACTGTACTTCAGTATTTTTTCTTAACAGTCCTGTGAAGATTAAATTTTATCACCATTTTAGATATGGTGAAACAAACGCCTAGTAATAAGGCTGTATAATTTGTCTACTCTCTAATATTTAATAAGTGGCAGATGGACAATGAACCCAGCTTATCTGGCTTCAAATCCAATGTTATAGCAAAACTATTACATTAAAAATGAATGGAAACTGAAACATGTAATGTTCATAAATATTTATATGGATTCAGTTTAGTATGACACAAACATAATAGGACATGAAAACTGTACCTATATCTATATTTATTTCCTTCCTTTCTCCCTGCCTCCTGCCCTCCTGTCCATCCATCCATCCATCCATCCATCCATCCATCCATCCATCCATCCATCCATCCATCCATCCATGCATCCATCCATCCATCCAAATAACCTCAACTGTATTTGCCTCTCTGGTGGGCTTGACTGGGTTATATTGGCAACTATTCACTTAAACAGCTTATATTTTTTAAATTTTTATTAAGGTATGATTGATATACACTCTTATGAAGGTTTCACATGAAAAAACAATGTAGTTACTTGTAAATGGGTATAATAGTTCAGGGGTGCCATACCCCAATGCAGTCACTGTCCATCAGTGTAGTAAGATGCCACAGATTGACTATTTGCCTTCTCCGTGCTACACTGTTAAATAGCTTATTTACAGCATGTAACAATGCAAGTTTTCCTGCCTTGAAAGAGAAAATATCAGTTGAAAAAAATCTTAGCAGTGTAACCTTTTTTTGATATAAGAATTCCCTTAAAATTTCTCTTATAAATTGCTCATTCAACATTGAGAGAGAACTTACTACTTCCTGTAGCAGCTCACTTCATTTTTGAACAGCAATATTCTTTGCACTGAAATGAAATCTGCTCTCTATTGATTTTTGCTTTATCCTCTGCAGACACAAAGTACAGTCAATACAAGTGTGTAACATGCATTACAACTTACCACTTGCCTCTTCTCCAAAGGCAAAACTTTCTGCTTAATCAGTAAAATCTTTGAAAATATGGATACATCCAGTAACTTAACAGTGAGCTCTAGAAAGTCACTACCAACAGACTAGAGTTGACACACTTAAACTGAAATCTCATTGCTGTCCCTTGTCTTATTCTTTTTTACATGTTTCTCCCTTCAACTTTAAGGACAATTTTCAGATCTTTGTTAAATCCCTTCTATAATATACGTAAAACTCATTTTCCTTCAATTATTCTATATGAAACATGATTTTCATCATTTCTCAGTCTGGCAATTTTTCACTAGATTAGCATTTATGATGCTTATTTGACCTAAGGTATGATCTGATCCAACTCGAAGTTTTCTATTTCTCTTTGACAAATTCTTTCCCTTCCTACTTTTGGGATACTGCTTAAGATTTGATTGTTAGATCTCTTTTCTCTTTATAGGCTCTTTCCTATTCTGGGTTATTGACTCTTTTGTTAGCTTCAGTACATGGTACTTATTTCTATCAGATCACAAATCATATAATGTCAACCCCTTATTTAAATCCCTTCAATTGTCTTCCAATTCATAGCCTATTAAGACCTAGTAATCTGGCACCTATCTACACCTATTTTACTTCACACTCATCTGTCTCACGATTTTTATATAAATAGAGTATATATTACCTCTCTTGATAGGAGAGAACATATTAAGTTCACTCCTACTACAACGGGTTGTTATGTTTCATCTCCACTGCTGGGAACACTCTCCCTGGATCTTTGCAAATTTGATAACTTTTCAACCATCAGGTCTCAAGTCAATATAGCCTCCTAAAAGAGACTCCCTAATTACTCTAATCTTAGGTGGCCCCTACTCCCTCATTTTCCACCTTATTTACTTCCTTCATTGCAGTTGTAGATTTTGTAATTTGTTTACTATTTATCTTCCCTGATTAGAATATAAGGTTCCTAAGTATAAAGACTCTGACTATTTAGCTCAGTCATTACCAGTATCTAGAATGGTGCTTGGTACAGAACAGAAAAGAAGTAATTATTAAACTTAAGCATTTCATTATAACAATGAGTATATATTACCTCTAAATACAGAACCTGGTAAAAGGTCTGGTACATATAAGATGTTTATTATTTTCTGAAATGAATAGACTAATCTCATCCACTTGGAAGGTATTCACTGTGACCTCTAATTAGATGACCTCCAAATCTGCTTAATCTAGCCCTGACCTCTAGTTCTGTACCTTTATTTAATTGCTAAAAAACTAGGTATATAGAACCCATCCCCCTCTAATACAGATCTTTTCTAACTTCTATGGCATCATTTTCTTTGCAAATTATATATAACTACCTTTCCCTGTATTCATATCCAATTAGTTATTAAGTTATACTAATTGTTGTTGTTATGTTTCATCTCCACTGCTGGGAACACTCTCCCTGGATCTTTGCAAATTTGATAACTTTTCAACCATCAGGTCTCAAGTCAATATAGCCTCCTAAAAGAGACTCCCTAATTACTCTAATCTTAGGTGGCCCCTACTCCCTCATTTTCCACCTTATTTACTTCCTTCATTGCAGTTGTAGATTTTGTAATTTGTTTACTATTTATCTTCCCTGATTAGAATATAAGGTTCCTAAGTATAAAGACTCTGACTATTTAGCTCAGTCATTACCAGTATCTAGAATGGTGCTTGGTACAGAACAGAAAAGAAGTAATTATTAAACTTAAGCATTTCATTATAACAATGAGTATATATTACCTCTAAATACAGAACCTGGTAAAAGGTCTGGTACATATAAGATGTTTATTATTTTCTGAAATGAATAGACTAATCTCATCCACTTGGAAGGTATTCACTGTGACCTCTAATTAGATGACCTCCAAATCTGCTTAATCTAGCCCTGACCTCTAGTTCTGTACCTTTATTTAATTGCTAAAAAACTAGGTATATAGAACCCATCCCCCTCTAATACAGATCTTTTCTAACTTCTATGGCATCATTTTCTTTGCAAATTATATATAACTACCTTTCCCTGTATTCATATCCAATTAGTTATTAAGTTATACTAATTGTTCCTCATTTCCTACATGTATTTCTTTCTAGTCCTACTGCCACGTTTACTTTAAGTGCTTACCATCATCTTACAGTTGTAGCACCAGATAGCCTCCTGACAATTTATATGCCTTTAGTCTCTCCTCCCTCAAATGCATTCTTCATATATATCCCAAGAACAATTTTTCCATTATATCTTTCCAATTTTCATCAAGTATAAATAGCTTAGCCTAGCATTCAAAATCCTTAATATCATTTTAACTCAAATAATAAAAATAAAGGGGTATTTGGTAAATGAGGTGGTAAGACTCTTACATACAGTTTCAGATGTAATAGTAAAAAGTCTACACTGAATCATATATGTATTGAAAAGCCACTGAAGTATAAGTTCCTTGAGGGAACCTCTTGAGAGACTTTGTTTATGCTGTTCATTGCTAATCTCCACCTGGAAGTGCCTAGAATATGGCTAAGTATCAATGAACACTTGATGATTAAATGAATTAATAATTTAATAATTCTTTATGAGTATATAAATGATCATAAAGCAAAGAATGATTGTCTAGATCAAAGCACTATTCTTTGAAGATCAGTCCAGTACTGAGACACATGGATTAGTTGGCAAATTACTTGAGTAAACCCACATTAATAGAGTTCTTACCACTAGTCTAAGATTTTTACATAAACTTGATCCTTACACATCTTAGTAAGACAGACAGTATTAAAGATAAGGAAACTGGTATACATAGTAAAGGCTAGGCATTTTGCTCAAGTACATACACAGTATTTGAACCCAGAAGAGCAGTAATTAGGGCCTGATTAGGATGCTGGCTGTGAGGATAGAAAAAAAATTAACTGGAAGATATTTTTAAAGTAGAAGCTAGAGCAGTAATAACCACTTCATACCATCATTAACCACTGTAAACCTGCTTTCACAAGTACGTATAATTTTTAAAATGACATGCGCTGCCAATCTGAATACTAAATGATAAAACAGTTTAACATCTTTCTTAGTTTTTAGATAAAATGCTGGTTAAGGTTTAATATTTTCTTCCCATATACCAATGGACTGAATTAAGAGTAAAATAATAAAGCTATCATTATGGATTTGCATCTACTGTGGACCAAGGTAACTTTTGCTGCATTTTACAGCTACAGACTGCATTCTAGCCATTTACATCATTCATGAAAGCCACTGAGACACACGGAGGGCTGGGTAAGCACATTAATGCATTTCACATTCAGCTTTCATAACGTAACCTACAAATAGAAGAATCACCCTAGTGATTAGAGTACATTACAATAAACAAATATATTTCAATATTAGATCTCATCCAGTTATTGATCTTTCAGGTTAACACAAAATACAAATTTTCAATCATTGCACAAATGAAAGCTACTGTAACAAACTGATATTCACTTCTATCTTAAGGTAGATTTATGTAAACTCATCAGATGAGAAATGTCAAAATTATTTTGACATAAAAATTCTTTTTATGTTATGAATAATACTTCTTAAAGTCTTTTAAGACATAAAATTTATACTCAAAA